TGTGCGTGGCAAAGACTACAGCAGAGACTACAGCAAGCTATTTTAATAGGCTGTATCGCTCAACCATCAAGCCACTCGTGAAAGTTAGTATCGTCGGTTCGACCTCGGTCTGCTCAGCGACGAATTGTTGTTTTGGAATGTTACGTATGCACTCTGAAGAAAAAAAAGGTGTCAAAAGGTGTATTTTTACACCCTTTGTCCCATATAATACACCCCAGAATTTCAATTCGACGTACAGTGCCCTACAGTCGAACAGAGGGCCTGAAATTTTATGAGGGGCTTTATAGCCGTGTGGTACAACATTTTAAATATCTAAAGTACGTATCAAAGACCACATAAAGAAAACGCCGAGTTTTTACAGTAGGGCCAAGAAAACCCGGATTATTTTTTAGTGTTCAGTAAAACGTACATTAGCTATTTTAATAAGTTGTATCACACGGCTATCAAGCCCCTCGTAAAATTTCCGACTGTCTGTTCGACTGTAGGGCGTTGTATGTCTAATTGAAGTTTGGGGGTGTATTATATGGGACAAAGGGTGTAAGAATACACCTTTTGACACCCTTTTTTCTTGAGTGTGTGGAACAAGGGGTGTAACCCCCTACACCCCCTATTTCTGAGAGTCTAACCAAGGAGGAACTGAAGGCTTATTTGGGCATCTTTCTTCATATGAGTGTCAACCCTTCCCACCAACCCTATCTCTACTGGAGCACCGACGCGTTCTTCAATGTGCCAGAAATCTCGCGTGTCATGAGCTTCAAGCGATTTCAGGCTATCATGAACAGTCTACAGCTCCATGACAACGAGAAAGCGAAAAGTGGAGGGGAAGAAGGTTTTGACAGATTGGCTAAAGTACTACCCCTTGCCAACGTGTTGAATCTGCGATTTCAGCAATTGTACAAGCCGTCAAACCATCAAGCATTTGATGAAAGTATGGTCCGTTTCAAAGGCAGATCAACATTGAAAGATTATGCACTAATGAAACCTATCAAGAGAGCGCTCAAGGTACGGTGCAGGGCCGATTCAGAAACAGACTACCTTTGCGAGTTTGGAATTTATGAGGGGAAGGGTGCAGAGAGGCCAGCTGATGCCGCCCTTGGAGAACATGTTTTTCACTATGCGGGAACAGAGGAGACGGCACCAAGATTTATTTTTAGTATTATATCACCAGCAAGAAACTTATGGAAAAGTTGTCTCAGAAGCACATCCACGCAGCAGGCACAGTTCACACCAACCAAAAGGACATTCCCCTCAAAATAAAAAAATAAAAAAAATGAAGAGAGGATATTACCTTTGGGGACGGCACACTTCTCGGCCTACCAGTGGTGATACAACAGAAATTTAACAATGTTGTCGAAAATTCATGACCCCTGCAAAGTGGTTGTGGTAAACCGCACACTCACCAGTGGTGCCAAGGTGGGCCTCACGTGCCCAAAAGTTGTCTTCGAAAACAACAAATACATGGGAGGGGTTGATCGCTTCGACCAAAACGCAACATGTATGTGATTGAGAAAAATCTAAACAGCGGCGGTATAGGCTTTTCTACTTCTTTCTGGATGCTGCAGTTGTAAACGCGTTCGTCCAGCACTCCTACGAAAAAACCAAGCGAGTACCTGTGGTTCCGCCTAGTTCTCAGAAGAGAACTAATTGCTGGACGAACGTTCAAGGAGAAAAATGAAAAACCCTCCTTTTCAGCACAAGCCTGCACGCCAGCCCGGCCAAAAGATGGTTGGTGTCCCCAATGAAGAAGGGCTCCAGAGAACTGAGCATCACCTCATAAGAACCTCAAGGCGCCGAAGATGCCGGTGGTGCTCCCGAAACGAAGGTCAGGACAGCACTTGCGTGCAAGCTCTGTGGGGTGCCGCTATGTGCAACCTGTTCTCTGTCCTTTCATGTTGGAAAATGACGTTTTTAACATGTTTAGTTTCTTCCAAGAACTACTGTTCTAGGGAATGCATCGACACATTAACCTCAGGGCACCAAAGATGCTGGGGATGGGTTGCCTAATCGGAGAAGGCCATGACAGCATTTTGGTGTGCAAGCTCTGTCAAGTGCCGCTATGTTCAATGTTTTTGCCCTTTCATTACGACAAAAAAGGTTTTGAACATAGGGCACGGTCCCACTTACCAATTAATATATTCTCTTAATTTCTCAACAAACTAAAAAAAAAGTGCAAATATTTTCGACTCTAGCTGGTTGGTGGGATTGTGCTGCCCCACTTTTACAGTATCCGTACAGGGTCGCTGGGACACATGCGTCTCACTTATTTTCTGAAATCCCCCCCGAGTCTTTATTGCCCTTATTTTGGATGCTTAATGTAGAGGCACGCATTGTCAGCATAGCGTATTATGCACGAAAAATGTATCTACTGGCTGCGCCTCACAACGGGTCAGACTTTTATCATATTAGAGTGGTGTTTACGAAACAACTGCTGGCGTTGCGCTTCTAATATCTTTTTTACATACTTTGTTTCTTTGTTTACAAGAAGTGTGCCCTGTCATTGCTGAGTTACAATGTCAAACTGCCTTATAACACTTCCATAAAATATTATTTTTGAATATTGTCACGAATGACAAGTGATGAGGCGATAATAACTGGAGAAACTAAACATTTAATGGGGCAAACTTGTGCCCCAAATTGATAAAAGGGAACAGAATAAAGCAGAGCGTCGCGGGCGTTGATGTCGGTGTGACAGCAGAGTCGAACGCTGGGGCAAAACTGACTCCGCTTGCCATGCGGGGTCCCTTATGTACCCTCGTGGATTTATAAATCATTCGGCGTAGAACGTTCAGTGTGTAGAACTTTCGGAACTCGATCAGACGAGAATGTTCTCGAACTTGCGAGAAGGCCAAGTTGTAAGAATAAATTAAAGGGCAGTCGCCTGACAGGAATCGAACCTACACCTTCCGCGCAAGTCAAGCCCGGTAACCACTCAGCCACGCACAAGCTTACTCGCCAATGCGCGTGGCAATATAAAATATGTGCGCCCAATTAGGACACAAAATTAATACAAAACAAGTGCCCTTTATCTATTTAATATTAAATTCAGAACGCGACTTGAATCAATTACAAGTAAGGAAGATGGATTGCATAGGGTCATGTCTTCAAAACGTTTACGGCAAAACATTAAATATGATTTTGACATTAATTTGCAATAAGAACAATGCCAAGCGCGCAGATTACATTTGCACCGCAAACACCAGCATGAGCGCAGCTGCCACCGGTATTGTGGTTGCGGTCGGGGGACCATCCTTCTTAGATAATTTCTGCGGCTTGCAAGCATCTGTGCGGCTTAAAACGTGGACGAGATTGCGTCGGATACGCCTGGCGCCTACCTCAATTATCAAATAGAACTTCCAAGTTATTTTCATTGTTCCTTTAAATCTGTTTCGTTACCCGTTCTCGTCCACTATTACGAACCTTCCGTCATAAACAAATTCTAAGGTAACCTGCCTTATTTTACTTTTACATTTTAATTCAAAGATGCGCCTGTTTGATTGCACAATTAAAGATACACATTATGACAAGACTTCATTCTAGTGTTGTCAATTGGACTCAAGGGATAATAGTGCAAAAAAGCCACTTAGAATTTGAGGTGTTTTTGGCAAAAGGGTATGGCGCTAACGCACTAGGTATGTAGATGTTAGACAAGAATGCATCTTATGACGTCAGAAAGAAAGGGTTCGCTCATTTGCCATACAAAAAGCTCATTATGATAAAGAATAGAGAGCATGTTTGAAAATCTTCTACGTCATCAATCTGCTACTAGGGGATCTTACCTAACCTGCAAGTTACTCTGAAGACCGGTAGTGAGTGTGCAAATAAATCCAAGTTCTTACACGCATTCAAAACTTAGATTTAAGGCAACATTCAGGAAAGTAACACCTGTGGGTAGCCCCTAGGAACGTTAAATAAGCTGGCTAGGTTATATAGAGCTTTGTCTCAAGGGTGGACTTCACGGAGAGCAAATGACAGACGGAAATTGGTGCGAGGAATGTTCACTTCACGCGGCGCAAAAGCAACTGCTTTGATGCCACGCGCACACTGAACGTTGCCGGACGTAATTCTTGATTTTCATACAAGCATCAAGAGAAAGACGGTGCTATTACATGTGCTGTTTCATTTTATACTATTATTTTCGGGTTGAAGATGTTACTTGCTGGCAAAATAAAAAAAAAATCAGGATTAAAAAATTAATATTATTGAATTTATATCAAAGTTGAATGACTTTAATCATTTCAACTAGTAAAGAGTGACATTTTATCACTGGCTGTGTTTTTAATGACAGCATATTATAAATCGATGCTGCTTCATCATCATTTGCTTTAAATACAAAATAAATGCCTACGGGAAGGAGACATTATTAGACAAACAACAGAAACTATTTGAGTAATGCTTTTGTAGGGTGCTTGATTTAAATCATGATAGCCAAATCGGTCCGATATGAATCATGAATTAAGTCACGATTTCAATAATTTTGATTTTGATTCTTCACCCTGCTTGCTGGCATATATTCGAGAAATCGCGAAGCTAAAGTCCATGCGGAACGTTAGTTCGACTGCTTCATTTGCAGGGGTTGTGGTGACGTCATAACGCCAAGCTCTAACTGGTTCTCATTGAAGGATAGTGGGTCGACCTCAATGCAAGCCGCCTAAGGGTCTATTCACTGTTCTTCAATCAGAGCCAATTAGAGCTTGGTGGTCTGACATCATCACAACCTCTGCAAAAGAAGCAGACGAACTTGCACTCCGCCTTGCAATTTGCACGACCATATACGTATTGCAAATGTAGCCTTCTATTCAGGAGACTTGAAATGAACGGATGCATTAGTATCGCTTCAGGTATCGGGGTCACGTACTAACAAATACCTTTATTCAAAGTGTGCGCGCGCTAAACATAAAGGCCGTTTTAAGGTACAAATCAAATACATTTGACTTACATAATGATAGCGTAAGCGTAAGAATAGTAAACTACTGTAACCGGTTCCTGGCGCCATGTTAAGCGAACAACGAGAACGTAGATCGTAGGTCAAAATATTTCACACAGTCCTCTTCCTTATTCCAAGTGTGATGTGCTTGGCGTTGAGAGACCCAAATCCGGCAACAAACTCGAGGGGAACCTGGAAACAACATCGAGGGGAACACACATGTTTGCTATCATTGTGTGCTTATTGTGTAGAAAAAGAAAAGTGATAGCGAGATGCCAGCGTTTACCTGCGTGTTTTCGGTACGAACGAACTGGACACTGTGAATCGAGTGCAGGAGGGACAGCTTGACGGCCTCAAGAGCGAACCTCATGCCAAGGCAGTTCCGCGGTCCCGCTCCGAACGGAAGATAAGTGTACGGCCGGATACTATCGATGTTCTCGTCACTAAACCTGTTGGAAAAATGCAAAATACAACAACGAAACAAGTCAGTGAATTCCATCCAATGCCTTAAGCCGCGGTCATACTTCTCAGACAGCGTATAAGAGAAAGTCTGCTGACACTGTCCCTGGGGTGTTTCTTTCTTCTACGATGGTCACATTGGCCATACAGAAACTGTCTGCTGTTCGAAGCATGCGTACGTATGGAGTATAGATGCTTCAAACGTACTTGAGAAGTGCTCGGAGATAATTGTGCCATCATATCTGCAGCCAACACCGTCTTCTTTTGTATGATATAGGAGCAGTGTGACAACAGCTTTAGAATTCATGCAGCGATCGGGGCATCGGTGGCCGTGTGCGTTAGAGCGTTAGAGCACCGCAGCTCGAAAATGGAGGAGAGAAAACTCGCACCGCAGAATTCAGAGATTCTGGGTTCAGTCCGTATCCCTCTCTGTTTCGATCTGGCTGAACATGATATACATAGGTGCGTTTGAGCGTGATACCCATTAAAGACCCTGGTCTAGCGGCGGTACTGCAAAGACTAAATTTCTCATCCACAGCAGAGATACGAGACGCTCCCTTGGGCCGAATATAATTTCCCGCTGTCTAAACAAACACAACTACAAGTAGGAAGTGATGATGCGCTGATCTCGGAATAGCACAGGCATCCTCAGAAAATCTGAAGACAAAGTTTTGGAAATAACAGCGAGTATATAATGATGTTTTCGATGGAATCAAATGCTGTGGTTTTTAGTACTGTCATGCCAAATAAAGCGGGATGAATAAAATGCTACACGGACCTGCTTGGATCGAAAGTTGCCGGATCGGGAAAATAATCCGGTTCGTGATGCATCGCGTAAACTGGTACGGCAATCACGCAGCCTTTTGGAACTTTGATCCCGGTGTCACCAAGAACATAATCATTCGAGGCAGTGCGCTCCAGCCTAAAAAAAGGAATACGAAAAAGGTTAGTATGTACTATAACACGAATCTTGACGAATATAGTATATTTAGACAAAACAATTATCAACACTCTGTCTGCCACATTTATTTTAAACTCTCAGAGAGACAAAGTGAGAAATTCCCGACCTAATCCCAGATCTTTTCAATACACTTTGAATATTCGTCTACGAGCTTATGTATCGGATCCTTATTAAAATCTATTTTCGGCTGAACTACGAGCCACGAGCGCATTGCCGTCTTCAAGTCTTCATTGGACATGAATTCTCGTAAAATCATTTCCAAAGGTGTTGCCACATCCTTCGCTGTTACCCACCCATAAAGCAGAATCAGTTTCCCGTGCACGCCCAGTGTTGTCATGAGTTGCGGACGTGGACGGGCGTCCGGCTAGCATCACATAGAATATTTGAGGCCCGCGAATATCCCCCTCTTTCTTGAAACATCATCACTGTCGGATGGAGTTAACTTGGCAACTGGACCCGAGCCCAGCCGAACGATGACGCAGGACTGGTGACCAATCCGTGTCTTCAATCGATCTCACTTTCATGACGTGAAAATTTTAGCGCACAGGCTTTGATTATTTTGGATAGTGCTGGTTGGGTTCCGTCTTTATGGCCGTCACTTGTGCGTTCTACCTTCAACTTCTGTATCCATTCATTAATAAAGCTTGGACTTGGGTTTGGGCTAGTTGGTTGTGCATTGAATCGCAGATCACAGCGCTGCACGTCTATCACTGTATCCATTCAAATACATTTTTTGGTAATAAAACTCTCTGCATAAAGTCTTCGCTGAATATCAACAACAGACATAGCCTTAGACAACCAAACACGAATGACTGCACGCTGCTCTTCTTTCGGGCCAATCACAAGCATCGTAGTCAGTGCTCCTCGCACCGCTATCACCACTTGCACACCACCCTACTGAAGAAGATTATATGAATCTATATACGAACTGATGTGAATTATCCAAAAACTGATATGTGACATATGAAAATGATATGAAGTGTCCAAAAACTGATTTGCGATATACGAACCTGATACGAAATACCCAAAAACTGATATGCGACTCATAAGAACTAATATGCAACATATGCCAACTGATATGAACGTGTCCAATAAACATATCAGAAATAAATTCATATAATTTTTTTTTCAGTATATGACCTGCCGCGCGGGCAAGCAGACACGTGGCTTGGAACCGCAGTGGACCGGCTTGATTTATTGGCTTTCAAATAATTACGGCATGAGCGTTCACTTTTTATTAAGAGATTCATCCCCTAAGCCGTTCAAAATACTCTCAGACGTATGACATTACTGGAAATGAATCCAACATGTTGAGAATATTATTTATTGGTTAGGTGGTCACCAAAAAACTCCGTACTTACAAAACGACCAGTGTAAAAGGCGGTAACGCAGAGTTCAGTAGTAGTTACTGGGTGTGCTGTTGTATTCACGTTTGTTGTGCCATGTATGCGCTCAATGTATATGTTCAGCTGATGCTAGTGGTATGCGTAATGTGTCTACATGGTGGAGTGGGTAAATAAAATATTTTTGTAGCACATAAATTGGGCGGTACCTAGCGCCACCTAGCCTAGTGTAACTGATATGCGGCGTATAAAACTGATATGAAATAATAAGTGCTGATATGAAAAGGTGTCCAATAAACATATCAGAAATAAATTCAAATAATTTTTTTCAGCAGGGCAGTGACTAGCAAGACTGCGATTTGGTACGAAAAGCTCGTTTAAATCAATACGGCCAACACAAGCTTTAAGATGTAGTAACCGGAGTGCGACTAATTTTGTGATCATCCTCGTACACGATAAACTCAGCACGCTATGCTGAACGGGGAGCGAGTAGCCTACCGTGCTCCGGGAGGAAACATTCTCAGTGATTCTGATACGACCCCATGAAGGTACTTGAGCTTCGATACAGCATCCAGGCTTGGATCTGGGCCCTGCGTGTAATCATAAAAAGATCAATAAAGCTTTTGTATTCTCAATATTTAAGTACAATTGCAGATGCCTTATGAAATTGCAGAACTTTCAAGCTACCAAAGAATTGCAAAGATCACCTAATTTAAATCTAGCGGAGATACATTCTACGATGTAAGTCGATTGATCTAACTGATATAATTTCAGCGAAGTAACGCGTAACTTCAGTTGCAATAAACAATATTAATAGAAGAACGTGTAGGCCTGAATTGTGGTTTGCATTATATATCTTGTCTAAGAAAATAAATGTCGATCTTCCTACTTGATGTTCGTCTGATAAGCTGGCCAGCTTGCACCACTACAATATTTATGCTTCCAGCCTGCGTCGTGGGTATCAGCTTAGAAGCCTCGTAGTATTTCGAGAAAATAAAACGGGGCATTTTTGCCGATGCTTCGTTGCGGGCAACGTAGTAGCCCTTGTATACTTGGGAGGCAGTGTTCCGCTTCAATTGTTTTGCTCTTAACCCTATTCGCTGCTCCAGCAACCTTTAGAGGTCGCCACTATTGGACAGATCTGGGTGTCTACAACAGGTCGTGCCGTGCCATGTGCCAGCTCAAATCACAGTGCTCGGGATTCAGCAGGCAAGCATCGGGCTCAAAAGTGGTTTGCGGCGATTTTTATTCACTATATTTTAAACCTGCGGCGATGTGTTGGCATGAGCGAGCTTCCAGATGCCTGCCTCTCTTCGGGGAAGCGATGAGAGGGCCGCCTACCGTCATTCTACGGTGCTGATGAATCTTGATAAAGGCACAGAGTCTGGTTCATGCGGTTGCGTAGGTTGGGTTCAGAGCGACCTGGGCAACACCCTGATACGAGAGTAATGGCAGGGTCACCCGGACGACTATTTATCGCGCCAACCGCCGACAACACGTAAGTGACGTAACCACGGAAGCCGCGAGGGACGAGAAGAAATCACGAAAGGACCTGTTCCGTCCAACATAGTGTTTTCTCGCTAGGTACCGTCCGTCTTGTCGGAGTTGCGACTAGCGAGATAATAAAGGATGGCGTTATGTCGTTCTCTCGTTTCTTCACACGACCTTCCGCCATGGCAGAACGAGCCCGTATTTTATATCCCTTCATCGAATAGTTGCTTTCTCACCTTCGGCCACTCTTCAGCACGCCCAAGACGAACACACCGACAGCCTCCCCCCTGATTGCAAGATTATAGTTCAAAATTTGCTGCACATTCTAAAGGAGTCGAACGCGGGAGATTATATATATATATATATATATATATATATATATATATATATATATATATATATATACAGGGTGTTTTCTTTTATTCTTACACATTTGTTAAAAAAAAAAAAAAACGTGAAAGCCACACTAATGCGGTTTGTGCAGGTTGGTTATACGGCCAGGCGGACAGTATGTGGGCGGCTAATCTTTGTGATAAGTCGGCTAATTAATTAAAATTCGTTAATTAACTTTTTAATTCCTGAAAATAAACATATGGTTTCAATTAGAAACTTGCTGAGCACCATCGAAAACCCCAAAATCAACTATTTTAAGCAGGATATAACGCCGGGGCAGCGTTTTACGGCGTTCTGTAAAAACGCTCCATTTGGACGCGTTTCTAGATTTCGGTTTCTTATCGGAGCGCATCTAGGCGCCCGCAGGTCCTGCTCCCTAGTGCTTGCGGCGCGAAGCCACCCCCTCGCCTCCCTTGTAGAATGGAGGGAAGTAGGGCGCACGTGTGTTGCGCGTCTTAGCCACTGGGGAGCAGGACTGTGGGCGCGGTGATGCGCTCCGATAAGAAACCGAAATCTAGAAACGCGTCCCAATGGAGCGTTTTTACAGAACGCTGTAAAATACTGCCCCGGCGTTATATCCTTCTAAAAATAGTTGATTTAGTGGTTTTCGATGATGCTCTACAAGTTTCTAATTGGAACCATATGTATATTTCCAATAATTAAAAAGTTAACGAATTTTAATTAATTAGCCAACTAATCGCAAAGATTAGCCACTCACATAAGGTCCGCCTGGCCGTATAACCCACCTGCACAAACCGCATTAGTGTAGCTTTCACGTTTTTTTTTTTAAACAAATGTGTAAGAATAAAAAAAAAACACCCTGTATATATATAGATACATATTAGACACGATTTCTGCGTCAGCGTTTGGGCTGGGATTCGTGTCCTTACTGCTTCAACACGAGCCTCAGCCGAACCCAAACGCATACACTATATGGTTAGAAACTGAGGGAGAGGAGGAGACACGCGCGGGGGCATCAGAACATAGATCTCTGGCAGAAATGATTACTAGTGGATAGACGCAAAGCTAGCTCCCATCGCCTCTATTCACACCTGTAACGCTTTCGTGCAGAGAGTAGAAACAAATGCAGCCAGCTTTGCGTTTACACACTTATTAGTCCAGCCAGGGCTCTCTGTTCTGACCTTTCCACGATCCCGCGTCTCCTCCTCTCCTTCAGTTTCTATCCGTATAGGCCAACTCAACTCACTGACGTCACGCCACTGCGGTGGCGCTGCTGTCGCTACTGCACATGCGCAAACGCTTCACTGCTTCCGAATTTGGTTTCTGCGCACGTTGCACTGCCCACAACTGCATGGTGTGGGCAAAGCGGGCTTGTTTAAAAAAAACTCTGTGTTTGCATATGCTTGGTTTCACCTTACGTTCAGACGCAACCGACCCTACGAGCCGATACGACCAATTAAATAACATCCAAACCCAACGTCATGCCGTTTGTCATGTTCCTTTTTATGTGTTCTAGCGTTGCTTAACTAATCATGTAGAGGGAGAAGGCGCAGCGAGCGGCCACCCATTCAGTTCGGTGTTCGTGGCTTCGATGCCGCTCTCATATGTGATGAAAAAAAGTACAGTGTCCACTCCGTGCCCCGCCTTCGAATCGTTTCGAAGACGCATGATTCGGCGTTACAACCGTGCCATCTACGACGTGTCGGTCGCACACAGCAAGTCGCCCCTCCGTTCAGCTATCCTCTCTTCAGTCCACGACTTCTTCCTGCGAGACATTGCTAAGACTGCAGCACATCCAGAGAGTGCCACGGCTCGCCACCTGCGCGTGTTCGCGTTAAAAGGGAGAACGGCATATGTACCTTACTTTCTCGCGTGACCCGGCGATAAGGAAAAAAGCACGGCACGTGTGCCTCGCTTTCCCGTGCATGCGCATGTTTTTTTGATGGGACGATCGGAATTTGCAAGGGGGACAGGAAGGGGGGGGGGGGGGGGGGGGAGGAGCAGAGAAGGTGACTTCAAAAGAAGCTACCGCATTTATTAATATTCTGGTAGTACTTGCTGGCCCTTACAAATATGTGATTAAAGCTTCATGGTACAATCTGCGGTCATTAGCGGACCATCCTTTTAAAAATAAACACTTCAATAAGCATACATCCTAGATGAGGTATTTGTTTTGTTTGGAGGCTGTAGATTGTAAATCAATATGATGAATAAGTCTTTTACTCTCATATCAATACTCAATATATTGTCCCCCGCCAATGAGGGATCAGGTATAAGAAAGAGCCCGCTCTTATTGATAAGGCTATCAACAAACAAGGCTGTATCATTTCCCCTTGGTGATTTGTGTTAGTGTGTCCTACTCCAGGGTTAATCGGGTATGGCTTCTAATGTCGTTATAGCTAAGAATTTTCAAAAAGTAAAACATCTAACTTCCTAGAGCCAGCATCCACTTCAGTCGATGAATATTCCACTTTATGATTGCAATAGCGTCACGTGGAAATACCACATGACCACATGAGAGAGAGAGAGAGACAAAGAATTGTAACTGCCTTCCAGCCAGTTTCTTTTTCTGGTTTAATTGAGTGATTAGAAAGATCAAAGTTATGGTTGAGTTTATATAACTCTAAATGGACGTGGAATCCCCAATGCGAGAGTTCCCCTAGAGCCACAAACGGAAACGACCGACGCAGATGCATGCGAAGGTACTTTTTCCAGGCTTCCAGTATCGGTGCTGGTGAAGTGAGCACCAGTGATTGCAAACCTCCGAAGATACCTTTGCACGCATGCTGCAGGTGCTTGAGGGTTGTCGGTGTAGGTTATTTTTGTTTGTAGCTGTAGTGGGACTCGAGCATTATAGTGGTACACTAGCCTATAAAACATGCCGAGACGCCATAGACAAACTATTTTCGCGCCATTTTCTTTCGCATCAATTGCTAAGAACCGAGTTCTTGTGACGGCGTTACAGACCAGGGGCTCTAATCTGTACCTTTGGGAAAAAGTCGGCGAGCAATTCGTCGGCCGTGATCGACCGTTGCCGGGATTGACCTTGGCGCCGGCCAAGCACGGGGTCAAATTCCTCGTAGACGTTTTCGCCAGATGTCTAGATTGGAGCCACAGGAAGTGAAACTATGGTGGCGTCAATCGGGCAAAGTAAACGTGATGTGGCATACAGGGTGTCTAAATAACTTGCAATAAACTTGAAAAAGAAAAGAGAGCTCTACAGGGGTGCAGCTACCTGTATGTTGAGAGCAAGCGTCTTACGAAAGTGCACCCATATTCTTATAGTGCACCTAGTCGTTTAATTAATTAAGACTTATAAGCTAACTTTTTAATTATTCGTTTAAGAGCCGAGGTGTGAATTGGAAAGTTGTAGGGCACAACGGGCGCGCGTCGTACCGCAAGTGTCTGCTCCTGGCCGCAAGAACGCCGACGCACTCAAACACGTTCAAACGCGAATGTGTGTATGGGATTTGAGAGTTCTTCAAGCTCTACGCGCAGACGCGTTATCACGTGGAATTTTTCATTTTTTTCTCGGGCTTTCTTTTTAGGCCCACTAAAACAAGCGCGCAAAAAGTATCATGTAGCAAACACCTTAGTTGGGTGTTTCTCAATGCGCACTGCACCTTTGAAATTCGCACCTCCTTCCTTGGACGAATAATTAAGTTAGCTATTAGTCTTAATTAAGTAACTAAGGAAACTAAAATTAATTTGTGTCCTTTCCATAGACGACTGCTAACAAAATACATTTGGTTTTCCTCCTGCAAAGCGGTCCGTTTTTCTTTCTTTTCTAGTTTGGTGCAACTTATCTGGGACACCCTTTACACGCAATCGCCATGCCGTATGTGAGGAGCATACAGCGAAGCCTAAGCAGCAGACTTTTACGACACTCATTGCAGTAATCAAATTAATTGTTATCAATTACTTTTAGGCGTAGTTTTTTAACATTTGAATATAGAATTATAAAAAAGTAATCACAAGGGAATTTATATATTTTTGGAAGTACTACAATTTCTTGTAACTGTTAACATTTCTCCTCCTCTTTCAACCCAGATATCCCCGAACCATCTCTTCGACAGGAGCACGTTTCACTAAAATTTCGTCAATTAAGAGGATAAGTAGCTTGTAATACGGTGATTGTAATGCTGCAATGGATATCACGAAG